CAACAATCAGAGAGAGAGATATCAACATTGATCTTCTGCCTCCTGCACACCCTACTGGGAATTGAGCCCACAACTTGGGCATGTGCCCTGACCAGAAATAGAACCATGACCTCTTGGTTCCTGGGTCAACTTCAACCACTGAGCTACACAGGCAAGGCCAGGCTCTCTTCTAGCATGCTCTGTCTCAGCAGGCACCATGGGCACCCAGCTTTGCAAAACACAAGCCTGGCATTCAGCAGTGAGCCCTCACTTTCCCTCATCTTCATATTGAACTTGTCACCAGGTCCTGTCAGTTTCACACCCTGGTTATCTCTCCGCTGGATCCACTTCTGTCCATCACCTCTATCACCAGCTCCACCTCTTTCCCTGGCCTACTGCAACCAGGCGTATGGCCGGGCACATGCCAATTCTTGTCCCTTCAGTCTGCTCTTATCCAGCAGCCAGGCTCCCCTTCATAATATGGAGCACGTCTGGAACCCTCCAGCAGCTTCCCAGTGCTCTGAGGAGGAAGATATTAACCTGGTCTGTGTTCCTTTCTTCCTCTAGTCCAAGCCACACCAGCAGTGCCACCCGCCACCACTCCGCTTTGGCATATGTTCCTGCCTCTGCCTGAGAAGCTGCCTCCTCCTCTTCCCCCCTCCTCACCCAGCCTTGCCTGCACATCCTTTGGATCTCAACTCAAACATCAGTTCCTCAGGGAAGCCTTTGCCCACGTCTTCCTTTAGATGATCTCATCAGATGGACACCCTTCACCAGGGACCACTCATGTCTGTCATATGTTTACATGCTTTCACGTGGTTAACTGCTCCCTCTCCCCTGTGAGCTCCCTGAGGGCAGGTGCTGTGTTTCTCTTGCTCATTTATAGCCGACTTTCTGGGCAGCTCTAGAGAACAGAGCCCGAGCTGCCAGCAGAGCCCCCCGGGGTTAGTCCTGCAGCTATGGCCCCAGAACCGGTACACTGGGTACCCAGCAGAGGCCGACATGGAGCCTTGAGCAACTCAACCCTGGGACCTTGCAAACAGGCATGCAGCTGAATGCTCCTGAGGCAAGTGAGTGATGGCAAGAAAAATGGCAAGAGATAGATCTGAGCACCATGCCCAGCAGGAATCCTGGTGGCGATGTCTAGGAATGGTAGCCCTGGTGCCTCCACTCTGTGTCCAGCAGTGAGTTTAGAGCCCAGAGCCGGCAGAAACAGGTGACAAAGCCAAATGGGTGTGGCCACACGATCTTGGGCCCAATCTAGACGTGCAGTAACCATTTCCCTGAGGGACAGAACTTAAGGTGTTATCTGGATGTGATTTACCTTGGAGCAGGAGTTGGGAGGGCGCTGCTTCCTCAGGACGAGGCTAAGAGAAAGAAAAGACACAGAGAGGGGTTGTGAGTATCTGGGCGGAGATGGGGGACTCTGGCAAGACAGCCTGGGCTTCAGGAGTCTGGGGGTGCCAGGAGTTATCACCTGAATACAGTGAGTGAATACTGGGTGTAGGGTTACAAGGAGAAGGCAGAACCACTCACTGAGACCGAGGACACCCAGCCTGATGGGGAGGCGAACTCAACAAAGCACCTCCATGAATATAATGGGTGCCTTGTAAAGGTCACTATCAACTTAGAAAGAAATCTGCTCCTCACCCATTGGGATGGCTGTTGTCAGAAGTCTAGATACCATTCCGGCCTCCAGAGCTGGTCAGCAGCCACTCCTTGGGGTCCGTCCCCCAGGACCATAAATGCCCCCTTTCTGTCTAACGGAACTGGCTGCCGTGTGCCCTTCGTCTGCAGCCTGTCCTACCCTCTCCCCATGCATGGCCATGCTCCCTATGGCTGACCGTGGCCCCCTGGAGACAGTCCCGGCTGCCAGGAGCCCTCCACACCTGCCCGATGGCACTGGAAAAGCATTTCATGCAAAAAAGGGATTTGTATGTATGAAGGGATGGTCCGTACCCATCACATGTGGAGAGCAGGGCTTGGCATGTCCTAATTGGACCTGGAGGGGGGGGTGGTATCAGGGGAGGCAAGGGGACAGGAAGTTGTAACCAGCTGAAGCCAAGATTGATAAAGGGGAGAAAATGATGGTGCAGAAGCAGTGGCTGATCGCTGCCAGCCTGCTTTCCTTCACAGGGGCACCATGGCAGCAAGGTTGTGAAGGTGCCAGTGGTGACGAGCACAATAGTAACACTGTCCATGTGACAGAGTGCAGCTTCTAGGCACTTAACATCTGTGAACTCACTTAACCTTTCCAGGAACCCTGTGGAGAAGGGACTGTCTTACAATGAGGAAATTGAGGCACAGGGAGGGCAAGTGACTTGCCCAAGGTCACACAGCAAGTGAGTGGCACAGGCTGGTGTGGCTAGACTCGCCCAGCATCTGGGCCTGGCCCTCAGGAGGTGACTGGGCCTTGTCATCCATACAGCCGGGCCTGGAAATGTGACTCTGGGTTAGCTGAGCACCTGCCCTTAGGATCTGGGTCATAGAGAGGCTGTCATCCTTGGGACGTCACAGGGTGATGACAGATCAGGATGCTTTTGCCAAGGGAGTGACAAGTTCTCAACTGCCAGGAGGCAGGGCTTTGAGGCAGTAGCAGCAGGACACACCTCCCTGAGCCTCGGTGGACGCAGCCCCAGCAGCTCCAGCAGCCCTGAGGAGTCTCTGGGACAGAAAGGCAGAGGGGCAGAGGGGCATAGGGGCAGAGGGCTGCTAAGGGGCCAAATCTGAAAGTCTCAGGCTGGGGCTGGGCGTCCAGCTGTCCCCCACACACCATGTACATGGTTTAAAAGGTATAATGTCTCACATTTCCTCCTTTCTGTAGTACCTTCATTTCTAAAAAACTTTAATTTCATTTTTCCACCACCATTTATCTTCCCATATGTAGTATTTTCCATTGCATATAGGGAAATACATCATCTGAAATCATCTATAATAATAAAAGCATAAACATGCTAATTAGACTAGATGAACCACAGCTGTGAGGTTCGAGCCCCTTGCATGAATTTCATGCGTCCAGCCTCTAGCATAATATGATTGGAAAACACATCAGTTATGTATAAATTACTTATCTCCATCTTCGAGGGTTAGCTCTATGATGTCAGCACAACCTCAGCTCACCAGTGACACCTGCAATGATCCCACTGCCAAGGTTCTGTACTTGATGTTATTCCCTACTCCTGACCTATGGTCTGCCTGTATGTAACAGGTGCTCAGTTGGTCTAATTTAAATCCCACTTATCTAAATGTGTGGGCATCACTCAGGGACACCCCCAGCAGGGATGAGCAGTGAGCACCAGCCAAGCCCAGGGGAGGAAGGCCCTGCCCCCTTGACTTGTCTCTGGTGACACAGACAGAGCCAACGGTGTCTCAGTGTTCCCTCCTGCTCTCTCAAAGCCCTCCTGGTGCCCGGTGGCACGCTGGGCCACCTTCAAGGGGGTGCTGAGTTTGTCATTACGTTGTTTCTGAAAGGTTGGTTTGAGTCTACATTTTCTGTCTGCACTAACAGCCGAAGGATATCCAACAACAAACTAACAACCCTTTTGGCTATTGGTATGTGTCACATTGTGTCCACAAATTCATTTATTGAAATCCTGACCCCCAGCATCTCGGAAGGCAACCCTACTTGGCAATAGGATCATTGCAGGTGTCACTGGTGAGCTGAGATTGTGCTGGAGTGGCTGCCTGTATGTGCACCATCACCGGGGTCCTCATGCAGAGGGGAAATCAGGGCACAGGGGTGCACATCAGGAGTCTGGTGCTTGGTTACAAAGGCCATGCTCCTGCAAGCCAGGGAATGCCATGCCCAGTGAATGGCTCTTACTAGTGACCAGCCTGTGGTCTGGCCAAGCCTCCCCCACCCCACTACCTTTATCTGCAAATTTCCATTCATCACAGCTTACCTTATATGTAGGAAACTGAATTTTAACCACCTGCTTATTCGTATCCATGGGGGAAGCAAATAAAGAGTAGAAATTCTTTCTTCTGGTTGTGTGGGGAAACTGAGTCCCAGAAAGGTTTGGTGCCCAGTTCAAGGCAGTGAGCCGGGACGGTGGTAGGGGCAGGGGCAGGGGCAGCCATCTGCGGAGGTGGCTGAAGGATGTAGCTACCTCTTCCTCACTTGACGTTTACTCTGAACACCCAGTGAGTGGCCACGGTGATGCGACCCCCTGTTTTATATCTAACCCCTCGGGGGCGTGTGCAGGGTTCCCGAGACAGACAGCAAATGTGCACTTGGTCCTTCCGGAAAACCCAGAGCCAGGTAAACACGTCTGACTTTTGCTTTTGCCTGGAGTTGCCTTTGGGCCACGCCCAGTGTAGCACAGAAGAGCCCGCAGCCCCTCTCGGCCTTGGCCCCCTCTGTCATCCCGGCCTCTTCGCTCTCTGCCGTGAGCCTCATGGGAGGAGGCGCAGGTCCTTGGTCTGCAGAGCAGAGAATCTACAAGGCACATCCCACTTCTCTGGCTAATACTGACCCACTCTTGGGGCACATTTCAAAGCCTCTTTATGTCAGTAAACTATCTTTCTTCCACGCCTTTCACACACACCCTCCGGGCCCACCTGAAAGAGCGGGGCAGAGAGGGAAGGCAGTGAGCACCCCACCCCACCACACGAGCTGGAGAAACCGTGTCCCGAAACCTCATAGGGCTGCGAGAGTCAGAGAGTAAGAAGACCCAGGCAGGCCTCTGCCAGCCCCCAGGCTCCATGCTCCTGGTCCCCAGGCATGGCAAAGCCGGCCCCAGGCAGGCACCTTGACTCCTCCCGTGCCCGTAACGTGCTTGGCCCCGGTCCATAAACCATGATGTCAGGATCATTGCTGAGCCGTGAAACAGTTAAGAAACATCCTGCCCCACTGGCTGCTGCGCTCACAAAGGTAGATCCACGTGTACTTCCTTGTGGCTCCAGACGGAGAGGCTGGCTCATTTGCCCACACCCAACGGGGAGAGAGGCAGGCGGCAGCAGGCAGGACCGCCAGCCTCCCATGCAAATCAGGCCTGGCTGTGCCGCCGGGCTCCGGGGCCATGCTGCTGGGGGCGCCCTGGGGAAGATGCAGCCCCGGGCGCTGTGCACTCCTCCTCGTCCTGGCCCTCCTGCTCGACGCCCTGGGCCTGGTGCTCCTGCTCGTGGGCATCTTGGCGGTGCTGGATTACTGGGACTTCCTGATCTACTCGGGGTCCCTTATCCTGCTTTTCAGCCTCCTGTTCTGGATCATCTGGTACTCCGTCAACATCGGGCTGCCTCTTGAGAAGCTGGACTTATAGTTCACCTGTCACCAAAGGAGTGGAGACACAGGCTTCCTCTGGGACTGCTGGCAGTTGGAGGAGCAGGGACTTGCAGCTCCCACCCAAAATGCCCCCCCCGGCCCCCCACAGCCCCTCCAGGGAGCAGGTGAGTACAACAGGAGACCTGCCCGGAGGAGTGGCGGGGCTTGGAGGCGCTGGGATAGGTTTGGGTCTTCGGAGGCTGAATGGGCAAGCAGCTGAAGGACGACCATGACAGGGTTCTGCCCATCTGGGCCCCTGACCAGGAGGCCACTGGAAACTGTTTATCCCCTGAGCACCCCTGTCCTTGAGGAAGCCAGAGGAGGGTCCCCACGGCCCTCTCCACTCCACAGGAGGTTCTGCCACCAGAACAGGAAGTTGACCCTCTGCTCGGAATGTGGAAGAAAGGGGCCCATCTTGCTGGTCTGCCGGTCTGGCCCCAAACCCTGCTGGGGAGCAAAGCCTTTGGCACTGGGAGAGCATGGAAAGTTCCCCGCAGGCTGTCTGTGCCCGTGCCGGGTGCAGGGGGAGGAGGCAGAGCGGAACCCCAGAGCCTCCCTCCTCACCTGCTTCCCCCCTGCACCTGCCCGGGTGGACATGCAGGAGGGCCCAGAGCTCCCTCACACCCACTCTCAGTGCACCCTGCCTCCTCAGGCACCCTCCCATGCAGTCAGCACCCTGAGCTGACCGGGAAGACCCCAAAACCAAGAGACCAGAGATGGTCATTTCATTGTTCGAGCTGCCACTTTCCAGGCAGGCCAGCGGCTCTGTTGACCACATGTCACCCGAGGCAGATACTGGTTAGATTTCTCACAGGGACTTGGGGCCCCACAGGTAGAGCTGGCCTGGCCCCCAAACCCTGAATTAGAGAGGGGCAGCTCTTCCCAGGGGACTGCAGTCAAAGCCCTGGTTGGTTGGAGATTGTTATCCAATCCCCACCCCCACCCCACCCCCAGGGGGACAGGGCCCTGCACTTGGGCATAGCAGGGCACTCCCTCCTGCGTTCCGGATGTGAGCTCAAAGGTCGCTGCCGGTTGGAAGGAGGAAATAAGCCTCGTGTCTTTCCTGGGGGTTCCATCTGACCCTCCGATCTGAGAGGCAGGAACAGCAGTTGGAACAGGTTTCAGAGAGTGGGGTGGTCCCACCTTGGCAGGTGAAAGGAAATGAGAAGTCACCGGGCCTGTGTCCCGCTCTGAGCAGCGCCGGCTCCCTGGGTGATGCTGAGCAGGCTGCATGATGCTCTGAGCCTCAGTATTCTCACCAGTAAAATGGGGATAGCCCCTGCCCTGTTTTTGCAAAAATGGAAAATAGGGAAGGCAGGACTAGGCTCTTTGCAATGTGGTTCTCACCCAGGTCAAACGGTGTTAGTGCACATGTGATATGGAGTGAATAAACTCGGCCAGAGTCCCAGCTAGGAGTACCTGGCGCACCTCAAACTGGCAGGGTGGGGTCACCTCACGGTGAGCATTATGAAATAGGAGGGGTCTCTGTCTAGTTCGTTCCCAGGCACCGGGCTGCTGTGGAGCGTCAGACACACAAGGTCTCTTCCTAGGGGAGCTCCTGTAGGGTGAGAGGCAGACAGCAATCCACATTCTCACTAACGAATACAGCAACAGGGCTGGGTGAGGGTGAGAAGAAAGGCAGCTTCTCTGCATGGGAACTTGCACAGAAACTGTCGCAGAAGTGTGTGTGTGGGGGGGGGGGGGACTTTTGGGGAGAGATGCTGGCTGGATGGACCAAAGGTCCTGGCGAGGAGGAAGTGAGAGTGCAGGGCAGAGGGTGAGGGCACCAGAGGTCAGTGCCTGCGTGAGCAGGTGCCAGACCTCAGAGCCGGGCAGGCCCTCTGAAGGTTTTTGGTCTTTATCTGAATAATAATTAGAAGCTATTGGAGATGTGAGCAGGATGATAACAGTGATGATGACCAGGTCAAGGCCATGTGGGGAGCACGTCCTTCTCTCGTTAAAAAGACACGCTCAGTAGCCAGCAGGGAAGAGCATGGACCAAGACCCAGCTGTGTGGTTTGTATCCAGTTTTATTCCTTACTAGCTGTGTGTGTGTGACCTGGAGCAAGTTATTCCGCCTTTCTGTGCCCTGGTTTCCAAATCAGTGAGACGGAAAAGGAGCTGATAATGACCCCTGGGACAGGGACAACGTTAGTAACAGCATGCAGCTCACAGGGATGCTGCCCACAGCACCCTACCATGCTGGTTAGGTAAACCTCCTTCACGACGCCAGTGGCTGGGGAGTTCTTCCAGAGGGAGACCTCTCTGAGGCATATGTCCATTGTTAGGAGAGTGGATGGCGTTAAGACTTTCAGTAGATCTGAGAGCTGCCCCGGACCACTGGGCTCTGTCTAGGTGCAAAGGGCCTTCCAACATTGTGAGATCCACTGCATTCTCCACAGAACACAATCATGCAAACGTCACTTTCACCTTTTCAGTCCCCAAACTCCGTGTTCCATGGAACCCTCAAAGCCAGCGGCCCATTGATCTCGCCTCCCTCAGACCCTCCATCCCTTGCGGTGTCTGGGACTGGCTTAGTGTTACAGGATAATGTGAGCTGGGCCGCCTGCCATTCAGGAGCCTGCTCACTTATGGGAGCTGCCCACCACCCGCTGGATGGCCCTGGGCAAGTCCTTTTACTTCCCTTTAGGCAGGAGATGGTCCGAGAAGAGGTTTCAAACTGTGCTCTACAGAGTGGGCAGGGAAAGGGTAGCACCCACCCCCATGCTGGCTTTTATCTACTGAATTTTCACAGGAAATTTTTCACTTAGTTTCTAGAAACTAAGTTCTGAAGCTAAAAGATACTCCTGATGCCAGCACCTCTCAATCCTCTCACGCTGTGACCTTTGGCCAGGGCGTAATCTCCACCACAGTCCTGATTGACGGCAGTTTGCGACTGGCTCTGCCAGTTCCGCTGTCCTCAGTGAAGAATCATGGGGGGGGGGGGGGGGAGTTCCTTTGCTCAGAACGTAAGTGAGGACAGGGCAGGGCATGGGCCCCACAGCCCTCGCCTGCAGCTTGTAGGGCTGCAGACCCCCTGGCCGCCAATCATCCTGTCAGTGCATCATGTTCCACCTGCTGGCACTTCCTGTAGATTCCCAGGGGATGACTCTTGTCCTTTGTTATTTATTTTAATTATTGTATTTTTTAATAATCACCCAAGAACATGCTTTCATAGATTTTAAGGAGAGACAGGGAGAGGGAGAGAAACATGGATGTGAGAGAGAAACACTCATTGGCTACCTTCTGCACGCACCTTGTCTGGGGATCAAACCCAAAACCTTTGGGTACATGGGCCAATGCTTCAACCTACGGAGCCACACCAGCCAGGGCAAGACTCTTATCCTTTTATAAGAGGGGGTAAGGTTACACTCCCCACAAACACACACACTCACACCATACACATATGTCAGCACTTTCTTCCTCCACACCACACACGCCCTCATGGGACACCCCCATATTCCCTACATGCACCTCAGGAACACATGCACACTCCCACAAACACACACCCTCAGGTGACACACCCCTATTTCCCATATACACCGCAGGAACATATGCACGCACCCACAAACACACACACCCCCTCATGCGCACCTACCTCTCCCATTGCCCACACACATCCACACACCCCTACTCTGTGCACAGATGCACTCTCCCCTCACACCCATAGTCACACCTACCCCTACACACACATCAACACCCCCACGCTGCACACGATCCCTCCTCCACTGCCCACACATACACACCAACACACCCCCACATAAAAACCTCACACACATCCACCCTATTTACACACACAGCTCCTCACCCCTGCCACACACACGCCAAACACAAACCCACACAAACACACCATCCCAGCAGCCAAAGCTGAGTGGCGTGGTGGGCTCCAAGCCCTGTGCTGTGAGGGAGGCTTGCTCCTGGCCCGGACTCTTCCCCCACCGCAGGGAGGGGCCGGGGCCATTGCCAAGTCTGCCCAGAGGAGAGCCGGGTGAAAGGCCTGCGTGCTGGGGCTGCAGGGCCCAATGTCTCCCCAGAGGGAGAGATAAAGCAGGTATGCAACACCTCCCAAAGTACACAGAAAGTGGAAAGTGCGCGCCCCAAGATAAGCACGGTCTTGCACCGGCTTTGAGAGCCCAGCCAGGAAGAAGGCCTCCTGCCAGGTGGCGAGGGGCCGCCTGGGGCTACAGAGGCCTGGCCGGGTCCTGAAGTGACAGGCAGAGGGGGGTCTGGGGGTCCTGAGGTGACAGGCAGAGGGGGGTCTGGGGTCCTGAGGTGACAGGCAGAGGGGGGTCTGGGGTCCTGAGGTGACAGGCAGAGGTGGTGTCTGGGCCAATGATGAAGGGGAAGACTTCGAGTGTCCTGGGAGAGTGAGCAAGCGTGACTGGGGTTGGAGGATGAGATGCGGATCCTGATTCTGGGAAAGCAAGGAGCAGCCTTTGCTAACGTGAGGGGCTGGAGAGGGACGGGGCTAGGCTTTGGCGGAGGGAGAGTAGCTTGGTGTCCAGTGCAGAACAGGCTGGAGAGGAGAGGCAGGCAGAGAGGGAGGCCCTGGGAAGCTCAGGTGGCAGGTGAGGGAGTGGCCTGAAGGGATGGCGTGGGAAGGAGAGGGGGCACAGGGACAGCATGAGCAAAGGACAGACAGGACTCGCAGGTGGGCGACAGTGCCCTCAAGGCTGCAGACAGCATCGCCACCCGCAGACGAGGGGGTCAGGAGAAGGCGCAAGTTTGGTTAAAATGCGTTTTCCTTGGCATATGAAGAGTTGGAAATGGAAGCGGTATTTGTGAACAGAACTACCTAATTGGCATTAATTTTAAACTCAATACCAATTAGGTAGTTCTGTTCACAAAAAAATTGCGCAGATTTTAAACTCAGGAGGGAGATCAGGGCTGGGGATGGACGTCGGGGCTGCAGCCATGGATGTGGATGAGATGGTAGAGGGTGAGGAGGAGAGAGAAACAGAAAGAAAACGTGTTGTGGGAAGTAGGGGTGAAGGGCAG